GCTTCTTAGCCCTGCTCAAAATGGAGGACATTTTGAAATTCCTCCTGGGCAAAAGGTTGAAATGTAAGACATGTCCTGGAAAAGGAGGACATCTGGTCACCTTGGGCCAGAACAGCATCGCCTTCCATTCCATTCACCACTTCACCCAAATATATTATGCACTTCTTCTTCTTGTTAAATTACATGCAGGGTGATCTTCCATGTCCTTCTTTTCCAGGATGTGTCCTCCATTTCAACCTTCTGTCCAGGAGGAATTCGAGAATGGCCTCCATTTTGAGCAGACCTGAGACACATGCACACCTGAGACACATATGAGCATTGTAAGTTCTTTGGAAATGTCCTCCATTTTCCTTGAATGTCCTCCATTTTCCAGTGCCTTGCCCTCCTTTGCAGTTATGACATCTAGTCACCCCAGATTGCATGCCTAGGGGCATAGTGCCAACTTATGGTGACCCTAAGGTTTAAGACAACCCTAACCCAAACCCCTATCATGGGAGTTTTCTTGGCACGGTTTGTTCAGAGGAGGCTTGCCATGGCCTTCTGCCATGGCCTTCTGCAGCACCTTAAAGCAGGAGCTTGAATCAGTTGCCCAAAATGTCCAAATATACAGGTACCATACAGTGCCCTAAAAAAGCCCTGTTCCTTAGGGGGTTGGATGGGCAAACAGGGGTGCCCACCCTTTTGCCCTAATGTTGTTTCCAGTCCTACGTCACAGCAAAAGACAAAGTTACTACACCCACCCAACCCTAAATTGCACAATTACGACTGAGTCGAAGTATGTAAAAATGTGAAGATATTTGCAGCAGCCATTTTACAGCAGGACTCTTCTGCATTTTTTTTTTTATTTTTGGTTTCTCTCTCTCTCTCTCTCTCCCACAGAGTAAAAGTTAAATATTAAAAGGAGGAGGGTTTTGTAAAACAGCAGCAGCAACAACAACAGCTCTATATTCTGGCTGTGTATACTCTAATTGAGAGCCAGTGTGGTGTCATAGAGTCATAGGGTTGGAAGAGACCAGAAGGGCCATCCAGTCCAACCCCCTGCCATGCAGGAACTCCCAATCAAAGCATCCCCGACAGATGGCCATCCAGCCTCTGCTTAAAGACCTCCAAGGAAGGAGATTATGGTTTGTGCATTGGGCTACAACTGGGGTTCAGCCATGGAAACATTCTGGGTGACCCTGGACAAGTCACACTCTCTCAGCCTCAGGGGAAGGCAGTGGCAAACCTCCTCTGACCATTTTGCCAAGAAAACCTTGTGATAAATTTGCCTTAGCTTAGGGTCTCCAAAAGTCAGAAAGGACTTGAAGGCACACACGGATGAGCAGTACACAGTTAGGTCTGCTGGTGTAATGGTATGAGTGTTGGACTACAACTCTGGAGGCCAGGGTTCGAATCCCCACTTAGCCATGGAAAACCCACTGGGTGACGTTGGGTTATTCACACTCAGCCCCAGAAAACCTCATAATAGGTTTCCCTCAGAGTCACCATACATTGGAAATAACTTGAAGCAATATACTCTAATGGCCATGATGAGGATCTTGCAGATTGTAGGATGGATGATTGAACAGTATGCTAACTTTTAGAGCCAGTGTAGTGGTTTAAGCATTTTCGGACTAGGACTTCGGGAGACCATGGTTCAAATCTTCATTTGGCCATGGAAATCCACTGGGTAACCTTGGGTAATTCACATTCCCTCAGAGGAAGCCAATGGCAAGCCACTTCTGACCAAATCTTGCAAAGAAGATCCCACAAAATATTGCCTAAGTGTGAAACAACTTGAAGGCACACAGCAACAAATGGCTCATGGCAAAAGAAATCAGCTTATTTTAAATTGAAACAAAAATGATGTCCCTCGATATTTTGCTTAAATAACATTCTGAATAACCTTTCTTCTGGTTTTAGGCCAGAGTTGAGGTTGAAGCATGACACCTGTCATGTGTCCTGGATGGGGCTTTTACTGTGCAATCACACTTTCTCATTTGTGGAAATTTACAGAAAATCTTCTAGACAATGTTGCTTCAATTTGTAGCCTTCCAGAGTTTCTCCCCTGTTTCTTCTGTCTTGTTTCTTACCAGAGAAAAAACGTTCAAGAATGATGATGGAATGAATATCTGTGCAGTTCCTTTTGGCTGTGCACATTAGGCTCCCCTTCTCTGGAAACCCACCGACAGAGGTGGCTTGAATTAGCCTTTGCTTATTTTCAGTGATTTGTTTTCAGAAGAAAATAAGTACATTTCAGGCTGCATCCACACTGCAGAAATAATCCAGTTTGACACCACTTTAGCTGCCCTGGCTCAATGCTATGGAATTCTGGGAACTGTAGTTTGTTGTGGTACCAGAGCTTTCTGACAGAGAAGGCTAAAGATCTCACAAAACTTCAGTTCCCTGAATTCTATAGCATTGAGCAAGGGCAGTTAAACTGGATTACTTCTGCAGTGCAGAAATGTTTATTATTTATTTCTGGATTATTTCTGCAGTGCAGAAATACTTATTATTTATTTCTGGATTACTTCTGCAGTGCAGAAATATTTATTATTTATTTCTGTGCAGTGCAGAAATATTTGTTATTTATTTCTGGATTATTTCTGCAGTGCAGAGACCTTGTCTGAGGCTGCATCCATGTGTGTCTCTACGTGAAAGATGCTACTCAGTAAAATCTCATATCTTTCCAGTTTAAGATTTATTTATTTATTTATTACATTTTGAACATCTATGAGAAAACACCCTACTAGACAAAAAGTGAAGTCAGTACATTTTTTCTTGACTTTTGTTGTCAAGAAGCAGTTGGTGCCAAAACAAAAAAAGAAAAAAAAATAAAGGTGAAGGAAATCTTCCATAGTGTCACTTTTGCAAATACAGAAAGTTCAAGCATAGGCTAAAGTGTTGTTAACACCCTTCAAGGACACCAAATGGCACAGTCTGAAAAGAAAGGCTTGGCAAACTTTACTTCCCACCAGTTCAAAAAGGAAATTTCAGTACTTAACAATGGAGATTGTCTCCTTTCTGTTTAGTACTTCAGAATGGCAAAACCCTGTAGAAAAAGTTTGTAATTGCCAGCTACCACTGAATATGAATGTCATTTGAAGCAAAGACTTGGGTCAGTCCTTTGTTCTTGGTACATCCAAGGCAGCAGGGAAACCTATTGTTTACAGAAAACCAACAGTTTTTCTTATCGATTTAACTTCCTGTGAAACCAAAACCTGTAAGCCATTGACCAACGTAAGGTGATACTTCATGGTCTGGAGGATGCCTTTATCAACAACAAACAGAAAATATCCTTTGAAAACTCCTTGTGATACTAAAGAACGTAATAGCAGAATCACGCCTGTCGAGAAAAGTCTCATGTGAGTCAAATAGCTTGCTCCTAGATCAGTGCATATAGGATGGCAGCTCAGCTAACTGACACTGCTCTTCTACATGGCAGAAATAAAAGAGTTTGACACCACTTTAACTACCATGGCTCAATTCTGTGGAATCCTAAGATTTGTAGTTTGGTGAGCCTGTTCTGTCAGAGAGCTTGGGTGCCTCACCAAACTACAAATCCCAAGATTCTGTAGGATAGAGTGATGGCAGTTAAAGTGGTATCAAACTGCTTTATTTCTGCAGTGTGGATACACCCAGAGTAAGCTTGAGCTCAGCATTCTTTGCTCCCTCAAGCCTATCCTTCCCTTTCCTTACATCTCTTTTCATACAGTGATGCAGCTTCTACGTCAAGGTTAAGATTGCCGTATTAAAAATTTAAAAATAAGCAACCCTTGGAGTATTGGTATGTGAAGAATGACACACTCATTGTCCATGATTTTGCATGGGATATGACATTTAGAAATAAGGGTTGACCATGATGTCCTGTGAAGTTATGGCAGTCTCCCCTTCAGGGGTATCATACCTATAAGCAAAAACAATATCCAGAGTATGAGTGAGCTAGAGAACTAGAAAGGGAACAGCACCAGAGCAAGCATCCAGCTACCATATTGTTGATATCATATCATGGGTGTAGGAAGATACCAGAATTTATGGATGGGGCAAAGCTCATAAGGATGTGTCCCTTGTATTGCCACTGGTATTATCAGAACAGTGGCAAATTTGTCCAGGTATGCATAATACATACCCCCTGGATATGAATAGCTATAAGCCAGTCTCATTACTACCTTTTTAAAGCAAAGTGATCAAGAGGGTTGTTGCTCTTCTACTCCAAGCTGTCTTGGAGGAAACCAATTATCTAGATCAGGGGTCCCCACACTTTTTGAGCCGGGGGCTGGTTCGCTGGCCCCCAGATGGTGGGAGGGCTGGAGGAACACAAAATGGTGGCGGCGGGCCGCGGGCCATAGTTTGGGGACCCCTGATCTAGATCCATTTCAAACTGGCTTTAGGACAGGATTTGCAGTGGAGACTGCCATGGTTGCCTTGGCTGATGACCTCGGTCTGAGCATCAACAGGGGTAGTGTGACCCTGTTGGTGCTTCTGAACCTCTCAGTGGCTGTTGATACAATAGATCATACCATCCTTTTGGATCACCTGGGAGAGTTAGGAATTGGAGGCACTGCATTGCAGTGGTTCCGCTCCTTCCTCTCAGGCAAATCTCAGAGGGGACAGTTGCTCTACAAGCAAAGAGCTTAATTGTGGTGTCCCTCAAGGTGCCATCCTGTCCCCGATGCTGTTTAAGATATATATATATATATATATATATATAGATATATATAGATATATATATATATGAAGCCGCTGGGAGAGATCATTTGGAGACATGGGGCACAGTGTTATCAGTATGCTGATGACACCCAAATATATTTCTCCAGGTATTGGGATACAACCTCCAGTCCTGGATGGAGTCACACTCTCCTCTAAGGACTGTGTTCGCAGTCTGGGGGTGCTCCTGGATCCGTCGCTCCAGATGACTAATCAGGTAGATGTGACAGTCAGGAGTGCCTGTTATCAGCTTCGGCTGATACGCCAGCTGCAACCTTTCCTGGAAGTAAGGGACTTGGAAAATGCGGTGCATGTGCTGGTAACCTCCCGTCTTGATTTCTGTAATGTGC